GAGTTTTGAGAAGATTGGAGAAACTTCATTTTTCGCCCGAAAAAAAAAAAAAAAACGAAAGGGGTACCACTGTCGTTTTTTTTTTTTCGGGTCGAAATTTTGAGTTTCGATATCTCAGCACTGGAAGGGTCTAGGGCCTCCATTGTTGCACTCAGGTCTATGTCTCATGGCCCTCTATCAGAATCCAGAGTTTTGAGAAGATTGGGGATACTTAACTTTTCGCCCAAAAAAAAAAACCGTAAGGGGTAACACTGTTGTTGTTTTTTTTCTGGTCGAAATGTTGAATTTCGATATCTCAGCTCTGGAAGGGTCTAGAGCCTCCATTTCTTGCACTCAGGTCTAAGTCTCATGGCCCTCTATCAGAATCCAGAGTTTTGAGAAGATTAGGGATACTTAATTTTTCGCCCAAAAAAAAAACGTAAGGGGTGACACTGTCGTTTTTTTTTTCTGGTCGAAATTTTGATTGTCGATATCTCAGCTCTGGAAGGGTCTAGAGCCTCCATTGTTGCACTCAGGTCTAAGTCTCATGGCCCTCTATCAGAATCCAGAGTTTTGAGAAGATTGGGGATACTTAATTTTTCGCCCCAAAAAAAAAAACGTAAGGGGTAACACTGTCGTTTTTTTTTTTTCAGGTCGAAATTTTGAGTTTCGACATCTCAGTTCTGGAAGGGTCTAGAGCCTCCATTGTTGCACTCAGGTCTATGTCTCATGGCCCTCTATCAGAATCCAGAGTTTTGAGAAGATTGGGGGATACTTAATTTTTCGCCAAAAAAAAAACGTAAGGGGTAACACTGTCATTTTTTTTTTCTGGTCGAAATTTTTAATTTCGATATCTCAGCTCTGGAAGGGTCAAGAGCCTCCATTTTTGCACTCAGGTCTAAGGCTCACGGCCCTCTATCAGAATCCAGAGTTTTGAGAAGTTGGGGATACTTAATTTTTCGCCCAAAAAAAAAAACCGTAAGGGGTAACACTGTCGTTTTTTTTTTTCGGGTCGAAATTTTGAGTTTCGACATCTCAGCTCTGGAAGGGTCTAGAGCCTCCATTGTTGCACTCAGGTCTATGTCTCATGGCCCTCTATCAGAATCCAGAGTTTTGAGAAGATTGGGGATACTTCATTTTTCGCCCCAAAAAAAAACGTAAGGGGTAACACTGTCGTTTTTTTTTTTCTGGTCGAAATTTTGAATTTCGATATCTCAGCTCTGGAAGGGTCTAGAGCCTCCATTGTTGCACTCAGGTCTAAGTCTCATGGCCCTCTATCAGAATCCAGAGTTTTGAGAAGATTGGGGATACAAAATTTTTCGCCCCAAAAAAAAAAACATAAGGGTAACACTGTCGTTTTTTTTTCTGGTCGAATTTTGAGTTTCGATATCTCAGCACTGGAAGGGTCTAGAGCCTCCATTGTTGCACTCAGGTCTATGTCTCATGGCCCTCTATCAGAATCCAGAGTTTTGAGAAGATTGGGGATACTTAATTTTTCGCCCCCCCAAAAAAATCGTAAGGGGTAACACTGTCGTTTTTTTTTCTGGTCGAAATTTTAATTTTCGATATCTCAGCTCTGGAAGGGTCTAGAGCCTCCATTTTTGCACTCAGGTTTAAGTCTCATGGCCCTCTATCAGAATCCAGAGTTTTGAGAAGATTGGAGAAACTTCATTTTTCGCCCGAAAAAAAAAAAACGAAAGGGGTACCACTGTCGTTTTTTTTTCGGGTCGAAATTTTGAGTTTCGATATCTCAGCACTGGAAGGGTCTAGAGCCTCCATTGTTGCACTTAGGTCTATGTCTCATGGCCCTCTATCAGAATCCAGAGTTTTGAGAAGATTGGGGATACTAAATTTTTCGCCCAAAAAAAAAAACGTAAGGGGTAACACTGTTGTTTTTTTTACGGGTCGAAATTTCGATTTTCGATATCTCAGCTCTGGAAGGGTTTAGAGCCTCCATTGTTGCACTCAGGTCTAAGTCGCATGGCCCTCTATCAGAATCCAGAGTTTTGAGAAGATTGGGGATACTTAATTTTTCGCCCAAAAAAAAACGTAAGGGGTAACACTGTCATTTTTTTTTCGGGTCGAAATTTTGAGTTTCGATATCTCAGCACTGGAAGGGTCTAGAGCCTCCATTGTTGCACTCAAGTCTAAGTCTCATGGCCCTCTATCAGAATCCAGAGTTTTGAGAGAAGATTGGGGATACTAAATTTTTCGCCCAAATAAAAAACGTAAGGGGTAACACTGTCGTTTTTTTTTCTGGTCGAAATTTTTAATTTCGATATCTCAGCTCTGGAAGGGTCTAGAGCCTCCATTGTTGCACTCAGGTCTATGTCTCATGGCCCTCTATCAGAATCCAGAGTTTTGAGAAGATTGGGGATACTTAATTTTTCGCCCAAAAAAAAAAACGTATGGGGTAACACTGTCGTTTTTTTTTCTGGTCGAAATTTTTAATTTCGATATCTCAGCTCTGGAAGGGTCTAGAGCCTCCATTTTTGCACTCAGGTCTAAGGCTCACGGCCCTCTATCAGAATCCAGAGTTTTGAGAAGTTTGGGGATACTTAATTTTTCGCCCAAAAAAAAAACGTAAGGGGTAACACTGTCGTTTTTTTTCGGGTCGAAATTTTGATTTTCGATATCTCAGCTCTGGAAGGGTCTAGAGCCTCCATTGTTGCACTCAAGTCTAAGTCTCAAGGCCCTCTATCAGAATCCAGAGTTTTGAGAAGATTGGGGATACTTAAATTTTCGCCCAAAAAAAAAAACCGTAAGGGGTAACACTGTCGTTTTTTTCGGGTCGAAATTTTGAGTTTCGATATCTCAGCACTGGAAGGGTCTAGAGCCTCCATTGTTGCACTCAGGTCTATGTCTCATGGCCCTCTTCAAGTAAATGTACTCCGATACTGTCCGGCTCTGTTTTTCCGGTGTCCCCCAGCTCCTCGTTTAAGCAAAAGGTACTTTAAAACAACGTATTACATCGACGTTAAACCACGTTAACCGTGTTAACCATAACCTTTTAAATACTCGACCTAGTTCCGTTGTTTAGCAACGAGAAGAAACTCCTGTAACTTCAGTGCCCAACCCATCACGACAAGACGTGAAATAATTACGTTTGTCCACTTTGGAAAACGTGTACACAGTAAATTTTGCAGAGTTAAATTAGCTCTATAAGAGTTAAATTTAACACTTGGTCCGAGTTTATTTGGTCCCACTCAGAATTGGTGAAAAATTGACTCTATTCGTGGTGTTAAATTTTCAGAGTAAAATTAACTCTATTTTGAGTAAAAATTCAACACTGCTCTACACTGAACAGTGTTACCACAGTTTAACACTAGGGGAATTTAACTCTGTTTGGTGTTACCACAGTTTAACACTAGGGGGAAATTAACTCTGTCTGGTGTTACCACAGTTTAACACTAGGGGGAAATTAACTCTGTTTGGTGTTACCACAGTTTAACACTAGGGGGAAATTAACTCTGTTTGGTGTTACCACAGTTTAACACAAATCAAAAATGAACTCGTTTTGGTGTTAATTATTCACTAATGTAGAGTATATTTAAATTTTTAATAATGAAAAATTTTCCCTTTGTGGTGTTAGTACTTTAAAATAATTAATCTTACACAAGGTCAAATTAACTAAAAACAAGTTTCCAAAACAAAGAAAACAACTTCAACGGTCAAATTTAAAACATTTATTAAAACAACAATGAGCATTCAGGCTCAGGAAACGTTCATTTACAAAAATACATCACATCTGCATCAAATGGCAATATGGAACTACATGCAGTGCAGAATCTGTTGTACCATATTTCATCTGGAGATCAAATGGTTTGAAAGAGCACAGCTCATTAATATTCACTACCTTTAAAACTCTGTCTGGATGCAGTCTGACTGTAAATGCATGGTAATGGTCATCAAAACATACAGTTTCCATCAGTGTTCCACACAACAACACATTTTCGTCTTTCACAGCAATAGTCTTGATCTTACAAAACACTGGCATCTCACATGCTACTTCTGTACAGTTCTGTACAGTTACAACAACCTGATCAAATGTTCCTGTAGTTTTATTCCTCCTGCTGTCAAATCTTGTGCCAAGCACAATTTCGCTTGGTTCAATAATTCCCCACTTTTCCATAAAGAGTCTCTTTCGCTTGGCTTCCGAATTTAACTAAGTAAATGGATTTTCCAAATTTTGAAATGAGTGTTCTAGCTTTCTTTTAGTAGCGTTGTCCTGTGAAGGCAGGCAGAGCAAGGCTGCATCCTGGGCCCGACTATGAATCTCAGAAACCATTTCCTCCATAGATGAAACAATGAAAACCATTGATAGCAGATTGACTTAATCCAGCAACTTTTAGTTGTGCAACAGCAGATGCACACATATTGAAAGTGCTCTTATTTGATGTTAACAATACAGATGTTGCGGCCACCTCTCCAGCACTGCCAATCTGATCAAATACTTCAGAACTACTTTGTCCATCTGCCTTGGTAGTCTCATGGCTATCAGTAGTGTCAAAATTTTGCTCACCGTCGCTTTGCTCAGCATGTTTTGTGTGCAGATGTTTCCTAAAACCTGAAAAAGTACCGAACACAGAACCACAACCTGCTTCTATGCATTTAAGGCTTAGATTCTTCCCAGGAACAAAACCATGAACTAATCTGAGGTGCCTAAGAAGCTCTTTTGAACCATTTGAATCAGCTTGACAAACAAAACTCTTCATGGGGGCAGAAAAACTTAAGGGACCTAGCTAAGCAACCTTGCTCTGACTTCAGCAACACGAGGACTCTCTTTCACTTTGCCAACATCTATGTTGTACACAGTGGTCTGAATTAAAGTGTACATGTTGTGTAGCATAGTGTTGTAGGAGGTACCAAAAACAAAGTGTGACTTAAACAGTTCGTCAAAGGCACCAAGAGAAGAGGTTGACTTGCATGGAATGGCATGCTGATCGAGGATGATGTAGAACTGGTGAACTGATTTCTTCTGAGGTCCCACAGCCAGAAGATAGGGCTGAGCACTAGCAGTAATGTTTCGAAGATGCTCCTCAATGTTTGTTCCACTCTGAGAAGACCAAGCAAATTGAAGAGAACCATCACTGATGTGTTAACTAAAAGAAACTATGGAAAAAAAAAAAAACCACACACCTTCTTGAAGACAACAAGATGTTTCTCTGCTTGAGAAGCAGACACCTTTCCTGGTCTCTTTCGGCCTTGGGCAGAAGGTGGGATCAGATGCAACAGCAGTATTATAGAAGAGAGGTCAGAGTCCCAAACTGTTCAGACAGAATTAATTATGTTAGCAAAATCTCATCAATAAAGAAAATTGATAATGAAGAATAAATATCAAAAACATTTATGGGAACTAAATAAAATATACTGTTATTTTATTTTTTTAAATTATTTTAAACATCTTACCAAAATTAACACAATCTTCTGAGTCATCAGACGGAGATTCAGCTGCTAGCAGGAGTTCTCCAACATCACTGGTGGTTGGAAGCTTTTTGCACTGCTGAATCACTTTTTTCTTGAATGCAGTAGTCCACTTCTCCAGTAGCTTGCCTGACGCTCCTTCTCCAAACATCAGAACAAAGTCTTGCTAAATCTAAGGAAGGGAATCACTATTAGACATAAACCCTAAACAAACGTATTTTTTAGAAAACAGCTAAGCATTTTTAAAAATCCTTAAATCTGGGATTATAAAGACTTTACTTACCAAGCCTTTAACGTCTTTGAAACGTGGAAAGACCATCAATATATCACTTGACAGCATAGGGTCAAGAACCATGTTGCGGCGATAGTCAAATGTCAATTTCATCTTCTTCTTGACTGCGTCCTCATCTGCAGAATGGTTCATGAATGCAATTGCTTCCTTGCACTCATCCTCACTCAAGACGGTCTCCAGAGTAAACTCTGCCTCCCGTCTTACAGTTGGTCCACCAGACATCCCCTCAGCAGACGATCCTTGTCCTGATGAATTAAGTATTTTAGAACCTTCAACACTGCATAAAGATAATAACTATAGACAGTTCATACTAAAAAATAAAAAAGGTAAAAGAAACCATCTTTAAAATGTCAGTTATGGCAACTCAATAGCAACAAAACTGTGATAGATGGCACAATGAACTATGAAAAAAAGGTGATTTCTGAATTACATTCTGTACCATCACGTGATGCTCTTCGTTCTTTAGCCAGGCCTCTTTGTATAGTTTTGATTCTCCATGCCAAGTACCCAGTGCCACTCTCACCATCATAGTAATGCTCCTAAAAAAAGACAAAAAAAAAAAATAGTATTAATTCAAGAGCAAAATACACCACCTGTATTGTGTGTGTGATCATCAGCATTTAACATGTCAACACATGAATTAAAATAATAAGAAAATTATGATTCTTACGTAGCCTTTTTTGGACATGGGGTCACTGAGGTAAGGGAACAAAGACACAATTCCTCTGGCATATTTTTCTTTAACCTGCCTTGGTGGTGATGTACTGTATAATAAATAAAATAACCTAGCTTTAGCACAGGTAAAAAAAAAACAAGAAATTATGGAACATTGAGAGATTATATAAACACCAGTTAAAGATACGCAGATTACCCATTCTTTTCTGTCATGTCAGCTGCCAGGATGTTCACCATTTTCCTCCTCGTTTCATCACTCAAAGACTTGAATCGGTTGTATTCATTTATTATATGCTCCCCACCGGGTTTATGGACAAGAATGGATTCCACCAACTTAAAAAAGGCATAAATATGGTATGTTTAAATACAAAACATTACCAGAAACAAATTATGTAAAAATAAAAAGGTTCAAAAGCTATTTCAAATTGATGAACTTTACAACTTTGATGCCCACCTTTTTAGCTTCATCGTCTAGTCTAATTCTTTTACTCGAGGAGCTTTCTTCAATAATTACTGTATCCTGTGAGTCAGTGGAGTCAATTGATGAAGACAGGGACACATTTAACTGCACAGGAGAGGCTTGTGGAGAGGCAGATTCCAAGTCTAGTTGAATATAGGGTGGAACAAGTCTTCATGATACTAATAAACAAGTACTGAGAAAATTGATTGAAAAATAAATAAAAACATACAAACCTTCACCATGTTTTATGGTGAGAACACCAACTAAGGGATCTTTCACTACATCCTCAAAAACATCCTCATCCACCTCTGTCCCCGATTCATCGACAACCTTCACATTCTCGGGTACAGTTGAGACACCAAACTTTAAAAAAGCTGGGGAAAAAAGTATGCCAATTAATGAGAAAGGGTATACATTACAAGGTTGATCAGTTACTTGTTGGTAACTCTTAACATCAGAGCAAATGTAAGATGTGACAGTATTATAAAATACAATTACCAAATCCCAAACAATCAGAGATGCACCTATCGAAATTCATGAAAGTGGCCGGTGAACTGGGAGAAGAATAGGGTAAAATATACACAATGTGCATCTGATATGAATAAAACATGTCATCTTATTATAATGGAAATGATTATTGCCGCTTCCATAGACATCATTGTGTATTTTACAAACTCATTTTTTTTTTTTTGCTAATACTTATGTGTATTTAAATGTCTGAAAACTAAAAATAAACAATATGAGGTTGTTAACACGGAATAGTTGGATATATGACGGCACTAAGCGCGTCTGTCTCAGGCTCAGCACCAGCCAACGCGGGAAAGAACATTTGAATCAGGTTTGAATTTGGCAGTTGATCACGTGATGCACTGACAGTAATAATCGCAACGGTGTGTGTCATCTTAGTATTATTTTATGTTGAAGTTTTAAATAAACAGAGAACATGCATCCATCCTGGCAAGAGTAGTGGTCACAATCTCAACCTAGCTAATGTATTTGGGAGGATATATAAACTTCATAAACTGGTTTCCACAAAGAACCCATTTGAGGCACATGCTTCTGAAATGTTATGACCACGTTAAGAGTAAAACCCCCACAATTGTTCACTTTTTAGATATGTTACTTTTGTGATTAGTAATTAATTGGTTATTATTTCTTAGTTCATAAGTAGTTCTCAGTGAGGATATATTTCTTTAGTAACAATCAAATACCAAGGAACTACCTTTGTACTAATTACCTATTACTTAATGATTAGTTAATATTGCTTCCATATTAGTTAATAGTATTAACTTTGGTGTTAATGCAGTACTACCTATTACTTCCTGCATAGCTACTTGTTAACTACGGACCATTATTTTAAAGTGTTACCAAAAAAGGTTCTATAATGACAAGAAAGAACCCGTTTTGCACAAATGTTCTTTATAGACTATATTATTCATTCTTATATAACAACATTTGGTAGTTGTAATTAAATTATTGTTCATTAAACTGTTGTTGTAACTTAATTATGCTGATTTTTGGAGGAGAAACACTGAAATGGCACTCTTCGTGTGATATTGATTAACTACATAAAATGATGTAAATATATACATTTTCTAACCCCCACATCTTGAATTTTGTGATCATTCACATGCATTCATAAATACATTTTAGGGACTTGATGTTTGTCAATAATATGAAATATTTAACCCCTGGGGTCCATGGTGTATTTGGGATCCTTGAGATGTTCTGACATGCCCTGACATTTATGAACATATTAATGGCACAGGTGAAATTACACTACATTTAGCACATACAGGGCTACCATAATATATGAGCAACAGGAATGTATGAAAGTTTCTGAAATAAGGCCACACAACACATACTAAATATTAGGGCTGGGTATTGAGACAAATTCCACAATTCGATTCGATTTCGATTCACAAGCTTGCAATTCGATTCGATTTTGATTCAATTCAATATCGATTATTTTGGATATCAGTTACAATAAATGGCATTTTTTCTCAAGGGAATCAAATCTCTTAACTAATGCTGTAAACTATGGGAGTCTAGTTGTAGCCAATAGACTTCATTAGCCTAATATGAAGGTAATAATGAATGAATCACTTAAATTACACTTTTATTTATTTTTATAATAAGAAGATTATATGAAATATTAACATTTAAATGGTGGCTGTCATAAAAAACTTGCCAGATTTATTCAAATATGAAGGTAATAATGAATGAATCACTTAAATTACACTTTTATTTATTTTTATAATAAGAAGATTATATGAAATATAAACATTTAAATGGTGGCTATATATTTAGCAAAATGCTCCTCTCTGTAGTTATTTTTTCTAGCTGACTAACGAGTTGATGTGGGTTTTCTGAGGTAAATATGACGATACATGACATTGATTACAAGCTGTTTAACTGACGTCTTTCCACGGTTGAAACGCTGATTGAGCGAATCAATGTGACATGATACGGATTTCGACAAGTTGTACTCTATCTTTTAACACACTTTCAGATGCTCATTCATGTTTATTTGGCGCTGTGACTGGTATTATTAACCCGGAAGAGAGATCAGCGCTGGTGTTTCTCTTGAGCTCCGCCAGAGCGATCTCACGCCACAGCGCCAAAACTCTATTTATGTTTTTGAATTTCTAAAGGAAATGGACGTAATTTGGAAATTGAGACTTTGTTTCATATCAATAGTAACAAAGGACAAAGATTATTGCGATTTTTTTTTTATGCGTGCAGCCGCGATACAATCCCATTCATTCAAATGAAACAGGATGAATAATCGATTCTTGAGATTTAAGAATCGATATCGGTTCGTAAAAATGAGAATCGATTAATATTGAGAAATCTATATTTATTACCCAGCCCTACTAAATATGCGTCCACAAGACTTTTGACTAATTGATGTTGTTGCCTAGAGTTTTTTTCTTCACAATGGTCTGAAAATCATCCTCCTAATCATTCACATAAAACTGTCAATTCAGTTATATTGTGAAAAACATTTTTTGTTTGCCAAGGCAATATGCGAATGGGTGTGAACAGGCCAGCCTTCATCATGTATAATTATATTATATGCACAAAATATATTTGTCCGGAAAGGACAAAACAAATGAGAATAAATGAACTCAAGAGTTGAAGTTAAAGGACAACTCCAGCGCAAAATGAACCTTTGGTCTAATTACACATTGTTACCTAGTCAACCGTTATCTGAGATTTGTTTTCATGATTGCCGAATGTAAATAGTTTTATCTCTAAAAACAGTTTAGCCTATAACGCTAGTACAATGCTAGTCTATAGGGCATAGAGTAATGACAAATAAAAATCGCTTGTTATTACCACTGACAAGGCTCAAAATAGCCCCACAGTAACACGACAGCATAATAAGGGTCCCTACATTCAAACTGAAGCATTGAGAACTTTGTCAGTGTCCAGACAGTTTAATAAGAAGATATTTTATACACACAGTCAACTTCGGGAATACAGGAAGAAGCCATCTTTGAAAAATAGTCTCTACCAGTCGATCTACGAACGCCGATCCATGTGCGCTGGTGAGATGTGAATAAGGTGATAAGGTGAGCGCGAACAGTAGGCTACGTGTACATATTGAAGACAAGAAAACGGTTTGTGTTTGTGTTTCTACTGGAAACAACGGATCATATGAGATTCTGCACAGTTCAGCGCACTTGGATCGGCGCTCGTAGATCGACTGGTAGAGACTTTTTTTCAAAGATGGCTTCTTCCTGTACTCGCGAAGTTGACTGTGTGTATAAAATATCTTCTTATTAAACTGTTTGGACACTAACAACGTTCTCAATGCTTCGGTTTGAATGTAGGGACCCTTGTTATGCTGTCGTGTTGGTGTGGGGCTATTTTGAGCCGTGTTAGTGGTAATAACAAGCGATTTTCATTTGTCATTACTCTATGCCCTATATACTAGCTTTATACTAGCGTTATAGGCTAAACTGTATTTAGAGATAAAACTATTTACATTCGGCAATCATGAAAACAAATCTCAGAAAACGGTTGACTAGATAGCAATGTGTAATTAGACCAAAGGTTCATTTTGCGCCGGAGTTGTCCTTTAACCCCTATGTGCAGTGCCAGGGGATTTGTGATTGTTCCATTTACTTGCTCCTTTTACTATTTATCTTGATATTTTGTGATCCATTCATCCATTTTTACGAGCCGCTTGTCTCACGCTGGGTGACATTTTTAAATCACGTTTAAAATGATTTATTGAGTGGGAGTATACTTGAAGCCAGTATTAATGAAGTCTGATTCACTGAAATATGTATATGTTTTCATCTCATTTCAGCTGACAGCAGACAAATATAATATCATATAATTAGGCATATTAGTGTGTTGGTTTATTTTCGTTTAATCTCATATTTTTTTTTTTTAAATCTCATTTCATCTTTTCTTGAGGACATTAAGCAAATGTGGCACAGCTTTCCCAACTCTACCCTACACAACAGTGGCATCCATCAAAAGAAAATCACTTTGGTTTGAGATTTCCATTTCCTCAGAGAATTGTCATGTCACAGAGAAGCTAGGATGACCAGAAAAACCCACCAGCCAAGTCTGTGATTTGCTTTCATCTTGTGCCACTATCTCAGCTGGGTGACGGTAAATCTGCTCAAGCTGGATGACCTCAAGCTAACATTATGCTCAGGTCCTGCACAGATTCCATAAGGCATAAGGCAAAAGATAAAGGTCCTCCTGTTATTGATAGCATAAGATGAATGTTAAATTCATGAGGCAGGAGACGAGAAGGTGAGTTGAAAGCATAAAAAATTCACTAGTAATGTAACATGATCTATTTGTAATCTTAACTGGTCAAATACTCCCATTGACTCATGAATGTGCCGACTGAAACTCTGCAAACAAGCTGATAAATGTTTATCGATGTAATAAAGCATGTTGGGCTCATATTGAGTCTACGGTATGAGGAGACGATGCAATATTTAATCACATTCAAAGAACGGAGTGCTTGAGATGTTAGTGCGTGTCTATTTTTTACGAAATATCTTCATTTTACCGAGTCTTACAAAAGACGAGGTGTTGGCAAAACAACCTGCATGAACAAACCGTGCTCTCTTTTGACTGTCTCTATTTTCCATTTATCTTGTTCTCTCTCTGGCATTCTCTCCCCTGTGTGACAGTGAATGTGTGTTTTCACCCCTAATTGGTTAAGGGTCTGAAGTGAAATTGGCTCGTTCACTGTCCTCTCTCAGTGGAGGGTGACTGGGCGACTCCCGGCAGAGTAAATTGTGCATGGAGGGAGTGTAATTGGTCTGTTAGTGGAGCTTTCTAGAATAGCACACACTGTGTACAAACATGGCTGGATAAATGATTATTTTCAATCTCACTGAGATGTCACACTGAATTATTTTAGACACCCTTCAGGAGCGTGTGGTGAAGAATTTTACTTTCAATAGCTGGACTAGTCTGCGGGAAAAGATCATACTTTCTAGCTGGGTAAAAAATTGGTAGCAGTCGATGTGTTTACATTAGTCTGACATGGACCGACCTTTGAGTAACGGCTTTAAGTCTGAACCCATTTTAAGCTTATTCTGGGCACAAAAAGACAGCCTACTCTTCGCCTACATTATTGCATTATATTGTAGTAAAATCCAAAGTTTACCCTGCATTATCTTACTTGGAGCGAAAGTATAAGTCATTGGAAATAAAACTCAATCAATTTCTTGACTCGAAACTCGTTTTTATTTAATAATTATTTTTTTAAAAAATCATAGGGGCCCAGGACCCTAGGACTTTTCTCACACTTGAGCCACAAATACACAAAAAACAATTAAATGGATTTGTCGAGTTTTGTTCTTGAAATGTAAAAAAAAAGTAACAAATCTTTCCCTCACGGGTCAATTTGACCCCCCCATGGGAATGAATTTAGTGCGAGAAATGCTTCAGGACACGTAGACAAACCTAAAAGTTCTCACAATTCAATCTAAAAATGCTCAAATTTTACCAAAAAAAGTCATAATGTCTACATGTGTATCTGAATACATGAAGGTGAACTGATTTTTGGACCCAGCGGAACAGCTTCATATAGAGATATAAGGCTGTATAGTGGCAAGAGTCATGAAATAGCATTCTTTTTTTCACAAGAGTTCGGCAAAGACACCCCCACTGTTTCCCCACATCTGGCACTTGTGGAAAACCATATCTGGGCCACAAGCAGGCCATATCAATGCCACATGTCAGCCAAGAGCATAAAAATAAACCAGAACTGGAACTTATCTTAGCCACAAAATATCTCTAGCCTCTTTTTCCTATTTGTAGTGGAGATGAGTGGTACCCGGTGGGGTCTTCTGCTGTTGTAGCCCATCCGCCTCAAGGTTGTGCGTGTTGTGGCTTCACAAATGCTTTGCTGCATACCTCGGTTGTAACGAGTGGTTATTTCAGTCAAAGTTGCTCCTCTATCAGCTTGAATCAGTCGGCCCATTCACCTCTGACCTCTCGCATCAACAAGGCATTTTCGCCCACAGGACTGCCGCATACTGGATGTTTTTCCCTTTTCACACCATTCTTTGTAAACCCTAGAAATGGTTGTGTGTGAAAATCCCAGTAACTGAGCAGATTGTGAAATACTCAGACCGGCCCGTCTGGCACCAACAACCATGCCACGCTCAAAATTGCTTAAATCACCTTTCTTTCCCATTCTGACATTCAGTTTGGAGTTCAGGAGATTGTCTTGACCAGGACCACACC